TATAGTTTAAATTATTGAAAGGCTATCTTAGAAAGCAAACTTGTTATGTAAAAAAACAACTGAAGTAGCGCACTTAAATTTGTGATTACAGAATTATACTAATTAAGCACATTGTTGCTTTTTTTTAATGCTTTAGTATTCTCCCCTACAGTCCATTGCACATAGGTACTGAAAGGGAAGTATATGGGGACCTTTATAATTCCCAGCACAAAAAAGTACAGTTCACCTGAGAGAAGCAATTTTCTTTTTCTGTTCAGTTCAAGCCTGTATCTAATTAGATCCTCTCTATTCAAATCCCACAACCCCTTTGTTGTAAAAACAAGAAAAGGTAGGTGAGGAGAGGGGGAGAGAGAGAGCGCGAGCGAGCGAGCGAGCAAGATCCTTGCCTGCATGGGGCAAAAACTGATTTAAAAAGCAAGGCTGGGTTAATGAACACTATCCTCCAGACTGTAACCAGATGGAAACTTATTATTCACCGGAGTGTAATTAATGATATACATCCTGATCAAAACTCCTGGGTTTACAAACTTAAATTACCTTAACAACGATGAACGATGTCCTTTTCTCAATTTCTTTAGATTTAGGAGATTAGTAAAAAGCAGTGTGGAGTACCTGCAGCAGTGCTGAGCGCTGTTTTTCACCCTTGATTTCAGTGTGCTGTTTTAATTCACTGAGGGACAGCAGAGTTTGTAAATGTTTACACCGTTACCCAATTAACTAACAATATGGCTCCTACATCTGTCAACAAACAAAGCTGTTGTTGCTTTGTTTTAGCTCCTTGGCATTTTCTGTTCATATGGGTCGCCATTGTACTTAATTATCACACCATAACCCTTCTGCAGCTTCTACTTTGTTATTTGTGGTTTGTAAATATGTTGTATATCACAAAGAATAGAAGCCTTGCTAGTGAACACACCTCTTACCAAAAAAAAGCGGTTTGAATTGGTAAAGAAATTATTACATATAGGAATAATAGGCAAGGTATCTTGCAACTTGAAATGCATTTTAAAAGATTTGGAAACCTTGAGAACTGTATACATAGAGAGATCAAAGGCCCTAAAAGAACTGTCACCAACAAAGGTGTGTCTGAGCCCACTGATCTAGTGAGATATATTCTGCCCCTTTGGCTTTATATGGCTACAGTTCTTTGGACTGCAAATCTTACTATATTAATTCAATTTATATAGCTTGTTACATTAACACAATATTAATACTGCCAATACTGCGCTCTTGTGTAATGGGTTTCATTCATCCTATTCTTGGGTGTCTGTAATATGTCAATCTGAAGACTATTGCATTTTACATATATTAAACTGAATAAAAAAATATTTCAAACACCTTGTTTGTTGTTTAATCGTGACTTGGCACACGTGGCCCTGAGTCAGTAAAGCTTATATTTAATCCTAACACCTAACTAGTCCAATTCAACGCTAAAACTATTCAGGCCCTTAAGTTTTACTCCCATGCTTAAGTGACTTACTGTATTTGTTATTAAAATCCTCCTTAAAAGTGAAGCACTGAACACAAAATTTTTAAGACTTAATTTTCTTTCTATTTTTGAACCCTGTATCACCCAGTTGCATGCAAGTTGCTCACTTGCAGTCAGAGATCTTTCACAAATTACTTGGTGATGAGAGCAGGCCATGCAAACAGTAGGCCCCAATAAGGGAGTCAAGATAATACTTTAAAAAAAGTTCAATGGTTATCATACATGTGATATCCAAAGAGAAAACTAAGAAAAGACTCTGTCTGCTGACCCAAATTGGGAGCAGGACTGCATATTTGGAAGCTAAGAGTATATCCAACTTGCTAATGTTCAAGCTCATAAAAATAGTATACAGGAAACTGGGCTAGTCTACACATGCACTTTAATATGCAGTAGCCTATTTTACTGTACATTAAAGTGACACATAAAAAATTGTGTTATTACACGACTGTGCAATAAAATTGGCTACTGTGCATTAAGCATCACCTAAAAAGTGTGCGCTTGCACTACTGCGCATTAGGACAGCCTAATGCGCATTAATTTAGTACCTCACATTGGAGGTACTAAATTTAATGCCCATTAGGAAAAGCACATTAATGCATGTGTAGACTGCCCGCTGAGGACTTCCTAATGCATATGTAAAAGCAAACTTTGCTTGGACCATTAGTTGTTGGGCAGTGTTACTACCTGTGCAAACTTTAAAACTCAGAGCCAATCCCATTTCCATTTGCAGAACAAAACTCACCTCACCTTAAAAACCCTGACCTCCTCTAGCAAAATGACTGGAGTTGGGGAGAATAAATGGCCTGAATTTCCCTACTTTAAACAGTGCAAGATCTTACTATTGCTGCACAAACCACAAAGCAGGCCCTCACTATAGTTGGTAGCAGTACATAAATGGATTTGTGAACAGAATTTTTTCCACCAGCTAGACAGTTCTCTAGTATTTTAGTTGTTGGTGTATTAAAATGTTAGTCTTTGATCTTCATTTAAAAAGCATAATTATATGAAATACAATACAGCTTGTATTTCTCGGTTTCAGTTTAGCACATAGGAAGTGTGTCCTTTTAACAGGTATTTATTTAAGAGAACTCTACAGCAGAGGTTCTCAAACTGTGGTCTGCCGACCACCACTGGATTTGTACAGAAAAAAAAAGGTTTAAATGGTCTGCCAAGACCCTCAGCAATTTTCAGGTGGTCCGTGAAAAAAGTTTGAGAACCACTGCTCTACAGTAAATTATTTCAACACACATTTTAGAAACACTGACCATTAGCTTACACTGCTCTGGTATTAGCCATTTGACTGTAATAACATTAGAATGAATTTTAGAGTGATTTGGGACTGGATGTATAAAGAAGCAAATTACAGTACTGGGACTTTTGCATTTCCTCTTCAAAAAAATATTGAAATGTAGTGGTTACTGCCATTTTTATTAAAATAAAAAAATCAATTTGGGTAAATTCTGTGGGTTCGTTGGAACTAATCAAGGAAAGGCAAAAATGAACTCCTTCAACATACAGCTTTTCTGTTTTGACTGGGAATGTAAAATTATAGAATTCTAATAACCCTTTTTATAGCAAAAAAAAAAAAATCTTTTTTTTTTTTCCCTTAAATCATTTTTGCCATATTT